GATTGGTGATTGTTTGTGCCGTGCACGTTTTGGACCCACGCGATGTATTTCCCATACAATTTACATGGATACTTATGTGGATACAGTGGGGTTTGGGGGGCTCAAAACAATAAGGGTCTTTCGGCTGTGGCGGCTGTAGATAAATCTAAAAATTGAATAGAGAGACCCAAACGTGACATCTGTGAGAGTTTTGTAATGCATTTGCATGGGTCCTCGTATTTCCATGGTCGATTTATATTCGATAATTCATTCACATGGATGATTAGCAGCTTTTGTAACAGTTCTTTTTGAGGTTTTTATTGTTTAAAATCCCTAAGGGCTTGTGGCAAATGGTCTCTGTTCGTGTGATTCGAAAGTAATATATAAATTCGAATATGTTATGTATATTTATATAGAATCAATGGCCACACTATCTGCAGCGTCTTAAAACCCCTTGAGAGACTTTCAATATATTATTTACTTGTTAAAGTAAGCTTTCGAAATTATTGTTTTGCCTCATAAGGCTGGGGAATTTTCTGTGCTAATATTTCTTATCAACAATCATTATCACTTAAAGTATTTTTGCCTGGAAATGCCTCAACAAATGAACTTCGTCTTCTGTTGTTTTTGTCCACACCAGGCCTTAGACTGTGCAAGAAACCTATATTTAGAATCCAATAGGTGAGCTTTCAAAGGATTCAAGTTTCTAAGCAAGTTTTAAGCTCGTTTAGCGCCATCTGGTCGAAGCTCGTGCAACCGAAAGCAAATAAAAAAAAATTAAAAGCGAAACTTTCTTCGTTTCTTTATAGAAACTTTAGTTGTGCTGTACTGCCATAAAAAAAACAATTAAATTATATATGCATTAAATAAATAAAATAAACAATTGTTCATTTTTCATGACAAAAAGTGATTATTAAATGTAATCTGAGGAGAGCCTCTGCCTCTTGGAAAGCAAAACGAAAAACAACACAAAAAGTTTTAACGATTTAAGCAATTTTTATGGCATCGCATACAGGTTAAGGTATTAATAGTTTATTTACTGCTTTTTGTATAATAAATGTCATTTGTTTTTTATGTAATTAAAAACTGTTGAAGCAAATAAGCTGGTCAAACAGAATGGATCCGAAGAAAAAATAGGAAATACTCGTAAATACTCCTACGAACACTCGTTGATGAATGTTTAAAAAAATGGCCAATAAACCGGTTGCTGGGTGGGTGAAAACTAACTGTAAAATCCACATTTGACGTTCAATAAATATTTAATAATTCGCGTGATGCATGGCCCATTATAATAGAGTATCTGTGTGTGTGTGTTTGTGTATGTATGTGTCTTTTGAGTACGTGTATCAGATACATTTGTCAGCATTTAAATATTATATAGCGTGTCGCTGACAACGCATCGAGAGGTAGCGAGAAGAGAGAGCTTCCCGCTTCTGTTTTTTTCTACAAACATTCCCTACATCATATCTGCTGGCCAACAACTCATCAAAATTGAATACAATTAAATGGCTGGCAAACAACATTAAATGTGATTGATCCAAAACTTTTGATATGGCATGACAGATCCCTCGCAAAACAATGAGATATTATGAAGGCATTGCGTGATCCAATATTATTTATTGGCCTTCAAAATGAATAGATAATAGAATTACAGCAATAAAAAAGCCATCAAATGCTATGATAGCAGGTTGTCAGATATAATTTTATTTATTCCGGAAATACTCGTATCAGAGTGACAATAGTCTGAAAATGGCACTGAAATCTAGATCAAAATCGGGTTAAGGTAATTTTACGGAATTTGTAATTTCTGTGTAATTTACCTAAAACTGTACTTAAACTGTGATGCAACCATTTACGTTTCAACTGTTAGAAGAAAGTGGTTAAAAATATGTTAATGCCATAAAAAATTTATCAAAGTAAAAGTAAAAGTAAAAGAGCCTCTCTGAAAATCAATAAAAAGTAAATTTAAAAATTATGGGAGTGTTCCTCGATATGTATTCATATCCCAAAATGTACATTTTATTTATATCTGAAGGTATTTCATATCAAATATGTATTTTCCAACTTTCATTTCAAGCTTATTCGGTTAAAAGCTTTTAGTTTAGTTTTGGGCAATTATTATCGTATTAGTGATATCATATTCCCCCAATCATTCCATTCCTTTCCATTCATCGCAGTAACCGAATCAAAAGGCGTAACAGAATCCACATTTCCCACACGATCACAGCCCCTCGCCTCGTGCACTTTTATAAATAAAGAAAACCATAATACTCAGCTGCTATTTGTTTTGTTTTTTTCGGATGTCGTATTAAAAAACCATTAGGGAAACGACAGAAACTCGATGAGTGGAATTGAAATCGAAATCCGCAACAATGCGGCAGAGAAACGACAAAGAAATACATATACATACATATATAAAATATATATGTGTAGCATATGTACTCGTATTCGTATAATATTTATGGGCAAATTGCCTTTGTGGGGGGCGGGGGTTCGTACGTTGTGTTTGGTTTGTGTTTGCTTTTGGGGGCTGCCCCGAAGCCGCCGGCGGCACTACTACGGATAGACATTGGCGCGGCGTGAAGTTGTGCATGGAAATGGTACTATACTCTCGTATAAACAAAAGCGATCTGAAAACGTGCTGATTAATGTTTCATCCATTGAGGAGAGCGCATAATGGTACTGAAAATGGCATAGGTCAGTTTCTACACTAATTGAAATAGAATGTTATTGTGTATGTCTGCTGGTGGTTTGTTCGTTGAGGTTTGGACGGGTGGGTGCCACTACTGTTCCATATTTGTATCCACAATTCCGGTTGTGAATGGCAGTGCTCCTCCTCTTGAGTGGAGCCATCGTTTAGAAAGCATCTCCCAGCTTCAGCATCAACTTCAACTTAAACTTCCTTTCACTTTAGAATGCGATTCAGCGACTTGGCGCAGAGCGAAAGTAAAGTAAAGTGAAGTAAAGGAAAAGAAGTCGCGTCGGTATTCAACACAGAGGAAAACCCAACAAATTATATGCTTGGAAACACCTTTAATGATCGCAGTTTTTGGGGTTGTGTGTTTTTTGTTCTTCAATCTTAGATTTCAGTCAGAAGAAGCACAAAATCTTTTTATGGCTTGGGTGATTTTTTTTAAACATTGGAATAATTTGCATAAATTCTTAACTGTAAAAAAGCAGAAACTTTCTAAAGAATCAGAGAAGAAGCCGCCACTCAAAAATGACATCAACAAGTGGCCAAAGTTAGCAGCTTAAAGAAGCAGATCTGAAGAGCTTTAGGATGTGTTAGGAGTGCTTTCGTTTGGTAGCTTTTGCGGGTTTTATGGCGGCTGTCAGAATTTTACTGAAAGTCAACGTACAGCTGGATGACAGCTGAGCGGGAAAACTGTCACGTGGTGGAGCTTTTAGAGAGACAGAGAGAAAAAAAGAGAATTGTAAATGTGAGAGAGTTTGCAGCTGAGAGAACAGGGAAGAGAGACAAAAAAAAAGAGAGAGCACGAAAGGGAGAGGGAGAGAACATCCATAGGCTGCGCATGTCCTTCAACTGTCAAAACAAGCGATTGGGTTTGGGGTTTGTTATTGAAGCGCAACGTTTCCTTTCGTTCCTCCATTTGGCCTGATTTGATGATTGAACTTCCTATCAGCTGCAGTCTGGGGGGACTTCAACTATGTATGATTGACATGATGAAGTGCCAAATGCAGGGCTCTTGAGAGACCCTCTAAAGTGGGGGAAGTGCACACACAAGTATCTCATGAATGTGACGTTCGTGGGCAAACAATCCCCCGAGTCTGGCTGGCAAACTAATGAGGCGCCAGGAAGCCAAGACAACAGCAACAAACAACTTGAGCATGCAATGCAACAGACGGGTAGGGAAATGACATACCCACCCACTCACACACACACACACACTTGGTAGTACAGTGAATGCTCCCATCCCGAAAAGGTATCCATCAAACGGGGAATAATAGATTGGGCTTTCAGTTTATGATTTATAGAAATGTATCTCTGTTAGTTACATGGAAAATCCCCAATGAAATTGATAAGCAACCAAAAGTACATATCCAATTAGTGTATTTTGTTTCATCTTTAATCACCATTGGATGCAATGGAAGCTCTATTATTCAATAAACTGCCCCATGACAGAAACAATACATTTACAGAGAACCTAACTAATTATTTTCTATTTTTGGAGCTAAAGTTCGATGGAAATGCCAACAGTAAATGTCCCTTAAAAAGATCAACCACGGAAATGATGATCCAGTCATGTTAAATATTAGCTTAACTATTTAATTACCACTTAATAGGTGTGGTGTTTAAAATGTGGTTTAGGGTCCTAAGCACAGTAAATTCTAGGTAATGCTCATGAGTTTAGATTTTCAAAGTACATATGTACATATCTCAAAGTCCCTAACAGGTGTGTTCATTGTGGTTATGGGCTCATTTAGAATGCATTTCGAATTCTCACACTTCCTCCACGCAGTTTCACATTGATTAGAATGCATTACTGTTCCGTCTCGAAGTCAGCCGAAGACAGACCCTGTCATATGGATTCCGACGAAAAGTATTCACAATGTTAAAGATAAAGAATCCTGGTTGAAGTTCCTAATATAACCACTCATGTCCCCACAAAGCTGGGCTCACTGTGGAAAAAGGCGCGCCAAGGTTAAGCGTTTGCCGAATGAAGGAAGGTGGGGCTGCTGCTGCCAGCAGGAGGCAAGGGCGGTGTGGTGCGATGTGGGAGCAGCTTGTGCAATCAGCTGTTGCTAATGAAAAACGTCGGCAAGTTCAGGAGGCAGGAGTAAGGCAAAAGTCAAAGCTTATTGATTTTCTACGTGCTGCGTGTGAGCTGGGGGCTGGGGGCCGGCCCTTGGACCCTTGTATCCAAGGCCCCGGGGTTACGGATATGGATATTTACTTCTCGTATTTCTCGGAAGCAACCGGAGAGGGAGCTTCCGATAAAAGACAATTGAGCCATAAAAGCACTTAATTAATTAGTGGAATTAAATGGGGAAAAACTTACCCACTCCAACTCTCCTGTCGCTGTACGGAGGATTTTATGGAAATTTTTGTATAATTTCAGTTTTATTTCAGTTATAAATTTTTTATATTTCTTAATTGTTTAATTGCGTTTGTTTTTGTGTTTGTGGTGGATTTTCTCTCTGAATTATTTCCGCTTGAAATTAAATGCAATTATAATTAGATATGATATAAACGATCTGTGTTTTGTTGATGGCAATTATATCGTAGTAAATGCACTCGCGTTTATTTTGCTGCATCGTTTTTTGCATTACAATTACAGCTGCTTTGCATATTTGATAAAGTCACTGGACAATGGCGATTTTCCCATGGCGAAATGGGATATCTGTTGGGAAGTGGGGTGTCGGATGGAAGTGGGACTTGGACTGCAACTGCGACAGCGACAGCGACTACGACTGGAAGAAAGGCATATGAAACGTCGCAAAAAAAAAAAACGATTTGATGATAGCTAAAGGTCGCCGGCAAAGCGCTGATAAACCGAAAAACCTGACGCCCAACAAAGTAAAGAGAGATAGAGGCAGACAGGCAGACACAGACAGAGAGAGAGAGAGAGAGAGTGGTAGAAAGAGTGAGCGGTATTAGATGGCTTATCAGTGTGTTCTTATCAGAGCTGCCGCTGTTTCTGCTGCTGCTGCTGATTCCTGCCAACGATAGCGACGGCGATAGAGATGTACACACTGATATACAAATTGAACAACAGTGCAATCAAACGGCAAACGAACTGTTGTTTATATCTGTTTTGTGCTTGTTCGACATGTATCTGTATCTCATGTTTGGCGCGCTGTAGAACTAGCACAGGGAGGTTTGGCTGGGGAGGGGCATAGTGTGATAAGCAGACACCTGACTGCAAGATCTTCCCAGAGCAAAAGCCAGCGAATAATTTATTTTAGGTAAATTAGGTTGTTATTTTGACAACCAAACAAACACCATGAACTTGAGGCACACACACACACACCTCGTACGCGTAGAACTGCACAGACACCAGATTTCTATATATAAATAAAGCTTCTTGATGTTGCCCCACTGTTTCCTTGGGGTATTCCTTTTGCTTTTGCTTTTGATTTTCCTTTTTCTTTTCTATTTATGCACTACACAACGGCGGAGATTATTTCAGTGATTATTGTGGATTTTATTGGAATTATTTCTATATGCAAATCAAAAAAGGCAAAAACTATAACGATTTATTCTGCCCAATCGTGATGTCAAAAGACACAGAGAGAGAGAGAGAGGAAGAAGCGCGCGTGGGAGCTTCACAGTGCAGAGGAGAGAGTATGAGCGCGCGCACGAGAGGTAAAAGCAGCCAAGCAGCAAAACCCACCAAAAGGCAAAAGACAACCGTGCGCGTCCGCGTCCGTCTAAAGCTCCAACGAGACAGCGCCAACGTTCCGATAACAACTGACGGGAGACCCCAACAGCAGAGCTCCAACAGCACCAGCGGACCTCTGCCAGAGCGCTTCAACACAGAGCAGAGTGGCAGTGGCCGATGCAGAGGCAGCGGCAGCAACAACAAACGCGCACACACACATACAGTTAACCCGTAAAATTCCTTCAGTAGTTGTTGCTTTACGACGTTTCTACGTGATGGCACATTGCACAGTGCCTTGTTGTTGTTGCTTTTGTTGTTGTTATTGTGTCAATCAATTGACAAGCTCTGGGGCTGACCAGGCCTAAGCTCTGCTCCTCTGCTCTCATTTAACTGTACAACTTACACATCTCTCTCTCTCTCATACTCCTCTTTTACTCTCTCTCTCTTGCTCGCTGCGCTCACTGGCACTGCTAGATGCTCTCACTAAGCTAAAACAGCTGATTACGTTATAAAATGTAAACAGACCCAAGAGAGCCATCAATTGCCTAGAAAAAGCTTGCTCTCACTTTTAGCTTTTGCTTTTGCTTTGGCTTGTGCTCTCAGCGGGAGGGGGTTGGTGGGTGTGGGATAGTGGGTGCCGCCGCCGCCGCATTAATGAGCTTACATTAAAACGCTTTCAAATCGAAAATACAAGCAGTATAGTAATTGCATTCGACTTAGAAATAGAAACAAAGCCAAGGTAGACGGAAACGAGTTTCGAATGTGGCAAAGACACCAACGCCGACATCGACCCTGTTGCACTCACAGAGAGACACAGAGAGAGAGAGATCAGGCGAAGAGTCCGTTCCCAAATTTCAGTAAATTTTGGATGCCACAATTGGTATACCCTAAAGGGTAGAAGGGTTACGTTAATGCAATATGCCAGATACTCCTAATCAATTGAAAAGTTTCGCTTATTTCGATGCTATGATTAAAATTATAAATATTAGTAGTACAGGATACGGTATTAAGGCAGTGAAATTTATTTATATCTATTATGTATATCATAGATTCCTTTTCAATTTAATAGACTTATTCTCGTGATCCATTCCATGATGCATCATATTAGAATCGTTTTCAATTTCAGCATAATTTCATCCCTTTTGAAATCGCTTTCCCTATCGTTTCATCTTCTACTGCCAATTTTATCCTGGTATCCACTCTATTAATCATTTGTCTTTTCCTGATATAGAGATCAAGCTTCATGAGGGTATGTTCTGTTTCGTCTAATTGAGTCTTCCTTCAGTGGAGTCTTCCTCCTCCCTCAACTTGGCAGACAAATTGTAATTTTCTCTAATGTTAATGGCACGACGGGCCCAAAAAAAAGTACAAGTATATATATAAATGAATCTATACACACACATATATACAAGAGTCTATGGGCGACACACAAACCGCAAAAGGCAACAGAAATAGATGGCAAAGAATTTCTAGTTGACTGAACACTGAATGTGGCCGTAGAGCCATCAGTCTGACAGACAACGACCAACGACCGACGACCTAGACCCAGATTGAAAGCCAAAGCTATGGTTAACGGAAGCTGAGATGAGCACCGAACCCCGAACAGCACCCCGGAGTTGGAGGCGTCATAAATCTTGCGCAATGCCCCATTGGCAGCACAAGAAGCTCTGGGCTGTGGGCTGAACACCTCTGATCCCTGACAGAGAATGCCTCCGGAGTCTCTCCGTGTCAGGCCGGGCCGGGCCGGGCCGGGCCAAGACAATGGCCATTTGCATGGGTCGCATAATTATGGGCCCCCGGGGCCATCGTGCAAACTCATTCTAATGGCAATTTGTTGGCCACTGTGCTAATGTGATTAGAGGTTGACGTGTTGAAGTGCTGATGCGCTGATTGCTGCCGTCGTCTTGTTCTTGGCCACTTGTTGCCCAACGGCCCAAACAAGGGGGCCAAAAGGAAGTTTTGCGAGTCGTAAATTACTCGCTTACTGTTTCCGCTTTGCACCTCTATGGTGCTAGGTGCTATCTGTGGCATCTGACATCCATCTCAGATCCGAGATCTCTCAGAACGAATGCAAAACAGAACTAGGTAGAGTTTTCTATTTTTTATTTGTTATTTGCTTTTGCACTTTGTACGTGTATCCATGTATGTTTGCTGTCTGGTGGTATGCTTTGGGCGCACTACTAGTATACAATCCAATTAAAAGCCCAGCCAGCTGTCGGCAGTGCCCTACATGGATCGGCAGTCTGCTCTCTGCTGTGCCCCCAATTTGAGTCAAGTGTTATTTTTGGTGCTTTGTGTGCATGCCACAATTATACGACAATTATAAATAAATATCACCGCAAGTTGGTATCTTTCCCCTCACTGAATCGCTTTATTTTGGAAGCTACGTAAGTCTACCCAGTTTGGAAGGTGTCGTCGCAGCCCTGCCTCTCCGGATACGTGTGCCACTATCTATTTTATTCTATCTGGACAGCGGCTAAGATTTACGACGAAAAAAAACACAGAATACAGTCGCAGTCATCAGCCGCACTCTTTGGTGGGCATTGAGTCATTTGGTGAGGTTATTGGCATCGGAACTAACTGCTTAAAGTGAGATCATTTGCTACGCTCTCATTTGCACGGCCTCACCTTTTGCACGGCAATTGCAATCAATACAATAGAATGCTAACCAACAAATCCTTTTAATTGATTAATATTCCTGCAAGATCTTATGATCTGCAAGAATGCATTTAATCTTACCTTCCTTACAATTCTAATCCCTCTTCGCATACCAAATATTATCAATTATTCAGTCTTATTGTAATCTTTCGCATTGATTTCCTTTTAGTTGGTATTTTTTTCCATTTATATTTTGAGGTTATTGGCATCGGACCTAACTGTTTTTAAAGCAATCACTCGCCATGCCCTTCCTACCAGCTCACCTTTTTGCCCGGCTATTGCACTCAATTACCTGGTGCCATAAAGCATTCTTTTCGCCTCGTATGTGGAAATGGAACTTTACCACACCATCCACACACATACACAAACACACACACTCACACATGATGAGAACCCGTTTTTACCTCCCAGTGAGCCGGCCCTCGGACTCATCTGTCGACACTTGGTCTAGATAAAAGCGAAAAAGTGTAAAAGATAATGCTTCCTCTCTCCCTCTCTGTCTGACATCATCCTCCTGAGATACAGATACATTTGGTAAATTAGAGCAGTGTAAAAGATTTTTTTTGTGAAATTCCTTATGAATCTTTCAATCGGACAACAATCGGGAATGTCAAAGTTGACATCTCTGCCTCTGTCTTTAGTTGGAAAACTATGAGATTTATTTGCCTGCAACTGCTTGGGAAAATGCATTTTGGGCATTCGCGAACTGTGGCGTCATTTATCTATGTATATATCTATATCTATATCTATGTGTGCCCCATGCCTGGTTGCATGTGCGGCAAAGCTCTTTGTAGACGATACTCTAAAGTATTGTGGGGCATGTTGATCAGACATTAATAAAGACAATACAGTAGGGTATAAAAGGTGACTAATTGATCGACTAGTAAACTGAATAACAAGTGGAGGATGCACAAATAATGTAAATTTAGTAAGAAAGATCTCCAAGGTGCGAGTAAATTTAGCTAAGTCAATTGGAGGTAAGATAATCCTAATACTAATCCTAAACCATAGAGTAAGCAAAACCATACAAAAGTTTGAGCCAAACTTCATTCCAATCTCTGGAAAACAATGCTGCACAGCAAGTTGATCATCCAAGTGCTAGTCCTCACCCAGAAATACTCTCGGAGAACCTTCAACCATTATAAAGCAGCTTGAACCGAATTTATACAACCACTAATCTCATGGAAACTATCTCAAAATGTATCTCATTACAAACAGAGCATCTGGCATTCGATTTCGCCATGCCCCTCTGCTTTTTATAATAGTTTTGCACGCAAGCCAGAGACAAGGCAAACCAAACCCAAGGAGGAGCAGCAGCATAGTGGAGCACTGTAGAGCAGAGCACAGCAGAGCAGAGAGCAATAAAGCAAGCCAGACGCTGATGGATATCATCATGTAATACCCGAGAAATGTGTAACGATGAGGCAATCGCAGCTGGGCGGCTGTCGGATTATACTACTACAGCGAGTAATAGTAATGTGGCAGGGAGGCTTTTGTGGCAGGGAGAATCGTAGTCGTAAAAATTGACAATGCTAATGGGGCAGCGGAAATCAGGCATTTCCACTCATAATTTGCATAAGAAATCAGCTTAGAATCGGTATGGGTACGGGTAACGGCACGGGGGACCGTGAGGGTATCTCAATTATATGTCCAGACACGTTCCTCAGACGTGGACAGAACGCATCCAATGGAGCTTAGGCTGTAATGCCCTGACCGCTTGCAGCGCATAACGGATATCAATTTGTACAACTTTGGAAATTCTCGATTCAGACAGAAAACCACCTCAACCAGAGAAAGAGAGAGAGAGAGAGAGACTCTGAGAGAAAGGCGAAGAGAAAGAGTCGCAGGCAACCGAACGCAAATGATATGCAACGAAACGAAAAGAAATTTCTTCCTGCCCCAAAACTGGCCGAAACTGCAAACTGGTCCACCGTGACCCACTAAGGCATCTCTTTCGGAAAGCTGAAAGGCACTGAAACCAGGCATTAACACTGCCGCATGCCCCAATGGTTGGAAGGGACCCCCTCTCTCTCTCTCTCAGAATGAATCACATTGGATTTGTCAACCCCCTAAAGTGGTTCTTAAAATACAATCATTGGTAACTTTAATATGAGACCAAGTCCGCTTACTTATTTGTAATACCATGCGTAATACTCCCCTTCGCTTTTTAAACCAGTTTAGCCGAAAAAAGAATTGCAGCTCTTTACTTAGTTACTTAATTACTAATTAAGAATGGAATCTTGGGACAAATTTCTTACCGGAAAGTAAACAATTCCAAAACAAAGAAGACAAAAGATGATATACGTAGCAGATAAATATTAAGAGGATATGTTGTCAAGAAAAAGTACATTCTGTGAAGCTTTCGAACTATTTCATTACTGCTTATTAGAATTCAATTTATCGTGGAAGAGTTTCCTAAGTGGAATGCTGAAGGAAATAATATGAACACTAAATTAGGAATA